AAAATACTAATTTGTAATCTTTATGTCTTTGTTGTTACTGTATGTCCTGTATTATTTGTGTTTGCATGCGTTTTTGTGTCTGTGTGAGTTGTGTGAACTTAGTTGTGTGCTCCAGGATAAGCTGTGTGTGGGTCAGCATGCTCTGCATGTGTAACCATGGTTTCATTGCTAAGCAACCTAACTACCTTACCCTCTAAGCGGGCAGCAAGGTCCGGCTAACTGCTAAATTACTGACTAGAGCCAACTAACAGCAAAACAGTGTGAATGAATATATACAGTATACTATATAAAGTTCACTATTCAGTAAACACACTAATTCCCTACAAAAACGTAGTGTCTTTATGTCAAACACGATTTCCTGTAGTTTACTTCAGTGCATCTGTGTTCTGCTTATGGAAAATTCTAGACTGTAGGATTTAGGCATTTTGGATTTTTTCCATGCTAAAGAATGTAGATGCAGCTTAGTGAGGTTTATTAGGCAGCTTTAGGTGTAGAAGAGGATTTATATTGTTGTACAGAGAAAAAAGGACTTACAATTTATTATATTTGATAAGTGTGTGTGTGTGTGTGTGTGTGTATATATATATATATATATATATATACAGAGATATTGGATATTACATTGTACATGCTTATTTTGTCCATTTTTACATTTAGATAATCTTTGCTATCATCTAAATTTAATATTGCTACACCGGGATTCCAGGTTCAATACAGACCAAAAAATTTAAAGATTTGAAAAAATGCTTGAAATTAAATTGTTTATGGAGATAGATGTATTAGTTAATTATGTGGCGATGTTCATAGTTTGTTTTCAATACAAGTAATTTACACATACTGACCAGATGAAATTTTTTGTCTCTTTTTAGACTCCAATCCTGATTGGATGCTTATCTCAGAATGACAGCAGAAGACTCCGCCTCTGCCGTTGCTATGAGTAACCCAAGCCCTTCCTCCTCTTCTAAGGCCTCCTCTGGGCATCCGCAGCATCACAACGCCATCCCTGAGGGAGTGGCTGGGGCCCCCAATGAAGCTGCGCTTATGGCCTTGATGGAGCAGTCAGGTTATGGTATGGTGCAAGAAAATGGACAGCGCAAATATGGCCCGCCACCAGGCTGGCAAGGCCCCTCCCCTCCACGTGGCTGTGAAATCTTTGTGGGTAAGATCCCACGTGATGTCTACGAGGACGAGCTGGTGCCAGTATTTGAGACTGTTGGACGGATCTACGAGATGCGCCTAATGATGGATTTTGACGGGAAGAACCGCGGTTACGCATTCGTCATGTTCACGCAGAAGCATGAAGCTAAGCGAGCAGTTCGTGAACTCAATAACTTCGAAATTCGTCCAGGAAGGTTGTTAGGTGTGTGCTCTAGTGTAGATAACTGCCGCCTCTTCATTGGCGGAATCCCAAAAACCAAGAAGCGTGAGGAGATCCTGGAGGAAGTTTCCAAGGTGACGGAGGGGGTGCTGGATGTGATTGTGTATGCGAGTGCTGCGGATAAGATGAAGAATCGTGGCTTTGCCTTTGTAGAGTACGAGTCTCACCGTGCTGCTGCTATGGCCAGAAGAAAGCTCATGCCAGGACGAATTCAGGTTAACACCATTTTCCACTGGAATCAAAGGAACTGTTCACTCAAAATGAACAAATTCTGTCATTATATACTTAGAGAAGGATAATTTTTTGAAGACTATTCACACTATTCAGCTATTTTCCATACAAAAAAAGTGATAGACCATGCTTACTATGTTAAAAACACTATAATAAGGAACAAAAACACTATAAAAGCATAATAAAAGTATTCCATAAGACTCATGTGCTATATTCCACATCTTCTGAAGTCAGACGATAAATTTGCACAAGGAACAGACTGAAATTGACATTTTTCACTAGTATTTTTATCACCTAGTTAGCTGATAACTAACGGACCATTGAGTCAAATGAGTCAGATTCAAGAACAAATCATTATTTCAAGATGATTATTTTCAAAGAACGGTTTGTTGCAAGTCAGATTGACAGATTAAATAACAAATGCGACTGATCTAATTCCTAGTTCAAAGACTCACTGCTTTGGGAAGATTTTATTAGTGGCTTCGGTTTCACTCAGTTCATCACACAAATCTACTGAATGGCTTCAGAAGACTTGTAATATAGCTCATAAGTCATATGGACTGATTATATTGTGCTTTTATCATATTCATTTGCGCTTTTTGAAGCTTTACATATAATAATGAAGTCTGCAGCATAATAGCAGCATAGGAGGGGTTTGGAATGACATGAGGGTAAATAAATAACGAGAATTTTTATTTTTAGGTGAACTATTCCTTTATCCATGACATTTAGTAAATACATCTCCCTTACTTTAAACCTGTTGTGTGCATATCTGTTTCTCTGTGTATGTGTATATAGCTCTGGGGTCACCAGATTGCAGTTGACTGGGCAGAACCTGAGATTGACGTTGACGAGGACGTCATGGAAACAGTGAAGATTCTGTACGTGCGGAACCTGATGATAGAGACCAGTGAGGATATTCTACGCCAAACCTTCGGCCAGTTCAACCCTGGCTGCGTGGAACGTGTCAAAAAAATCCGAGACTACGCCTTTGTTCACTTCGCCAGTCGAGAAGATGCTGTGGTTGCAATGGACAACCTGAACGGCACAGAGATCGAAGGTTCCCGTATTGAAGTGACCCTGGCCAAGCCTGTGGATAAGGAGCAGTACACCCGCTATCAGAAAGCATCGAAGGGAACAGCGGCTCCGACAACTACTGACAACACCCAACAAAGTTACGTGTATCAGTGTGACCCATATACACTCACCTATTACGGCTATCCCTACAACACACTCATTGGACCCAACCGAGAGTACTTCATCAAAGGTTGGAAACCTTTATTTTTCTCTTTACTTTCTCAAATCAGATTGAACAGTGGGGGAAATGTGATTCTTGATTAGAAAAAAGTCTATATGTACTTGAGTATCATGCTGTTAAATATAGTTGGGAAACTAGACTGTTTTCCAACTCTCTCTTGCATTACAGTCCATATTCACACACGTAATGAGACTTGATCTGTACAAACCAATTAATGTTAAAACTTTGTCCCCTTTAACCCAGAGCTTTCATATAGGCACATCCTTTAAAACAGTGTTTCTCAACTGGTGGGAAAAAACTATGCTAAAAGTCATGAAAAGCCATGTCCATAAAAAACAAACAAATATGACCCAGACTGCATTTAGGGGTGTAGGGTACTTGAATAATTGTACATCATTACCAATTACACTGAAAATTGGTGTAGAAAATTCCATTTTCAATTTTCACTCAGATTTGAAGTAGAAAAACGAAAAATAGTATTTTCTTGTAATACTGTAATACAATAATCTTGTAGTATTCATGTGATAATTTTCTTTGTTTCATTTTTGACATTGTACATATTAAGTATTTTTGGAGAATTTGTGACTGTAGTGATTACATTTACTACATTTATATTTCTCAGAACATCATACATATTTTTATCATCTTTCTGAACTACAAAGACACTTTAAAAAAAAAAAACACAATAAAAGTGAAAAATTGTACTTTCATCAATTATGTTTTGTCTCAATAGAGTATAATATAAAGAAGATAAAAATGGTTTGGTTGGACAAAAATGTCGTTTGAGCTGTGAATTATTGGCTTCCAAGAGGTTGCCTTCCATTGAATTTCAAGAAACATTTAGAAACCTAAATCAGTTTTCCTATTCAGCCTTGTCATAATTTTGCTCATTAGCTCATGTTAATATTAATGATTTTTGATTTGAAGGAAATATTCTTACTTTTCTACAATAAACAGCTTCGGTACTGTGTCGGCTACTTTAAAACTAATGTAAAATCCAGAAATGAAACCAGTTGAGAACAACTGCTTTAAAAGATACTTCCCAAAACAAGAAGCTCTGCCCTCTTTGTTGCTAATCACATCTTTAGCATGGCCACTAGATGGCATGCATTTTGAGATTGTTTTTGGCTGAAGAGCTGAGATCCCCAAAATGTATGATACTGAAACTAATGATGGGAATCTGGTATTATTACATTTCCTAACCCATAATCATCAATTACAAATGCTTGTGGTTTTGGGTTGGGTTTCAAATCGAACAAAGAACTGTGATTGCATACTCAATCTGAGATGTGTTTGGTCATCCTTGGTCTGATTAAAACAAAACTTTATCTTTACTTTTAATTTCAACTTTGCTCAAACACCACCACCACTCCCATCTCAAAGAATGGTGGGTAATTACAAATATCTCACGAGGCATTCACACTGACAGCAGTTTGAATTAGAATGCTGAAGAGTGATAGTGCCACACCCATTTCTCGATATATTCAACCTGAATAGAAAGCTGACAGAGAAAGCTAATTACTTTATTTCAAATGTCTGCTCAACCTCAAACAATGGGGTTACCAGTACTTATATACAGGTATGTACCTCCTTGTGGTTCTGTACCTGAACAGCACCTCCTTTCATTTGTATCTCAAGCAGGTACTGTAAGAGGCCGTGGCCGTGCTGGGGCCGGTAATAGGGGCCCAGGGCCCCGCGGCTCATACCTTGGTGGCTATTCAGCTGGCCGAGGCATTTACAGCCGCTACCATGAAGGAAAGGGCAAATTGCTGGACAAACCTTACGAGATCATGCCCAATCTAGAGCTGGCAGCTGTGAACCCAGTGGGCATCAAGCCTGGCACAAGTCAGTGTGAAATTAAATCACATACATACAGAATTAAGCTCAGCTGTGCTCCACTCCATCCAGTAGAGGCAGAATCTAAAATGATCTAGAAGCAGAATCTAAAAACTGTTCATTCTGAAATGGAGGTTTCTGGATAATTTACTAATGTTATTTAGTACTGACATGTATCCACCAGTTAGTGTTACATTTAAAAATTGCAGTCAAGTAAACTGGGGTTACTCAAAAAAATATAAAGATAAATTTGTTAGATTCCACTGCCCCTACTGGCCTGGAGTGGAACAGTAACTTGCTTTCTTTATGACAGCTGTCATCGCTGTCACGGCTTACTCCAGTTAGCAGGCTTTTGATTTTATTGCTTAAATGCCTTCTTTGAATTATACATACAATGTTCAAACAATTCTCAAAAAGCTCTCAAATTTGTATATACCTCCAGATTAAATATTACATATGTACAGTCATCTGAATAGAATGTTATTAAGGATATTAACATAACAGAGGAACTAAACCACAAATAACAATGCTTTGCGAGAGTTTGTTTGGGCATTGAGTTCAAGGTTCTTATTGACTTTATTTTCTTACTAATCGGCTGCTCTGTGTCGAAACTAACTGATCTTGCACAATTCTGATCTGAGATCTGCAAAACTCCTGACTGGAGTATTCTGACGTCACTTAAACCTACTGATCCTAAATCTAAATTAATGTGGGGAATGAAAAGAGTTTTTGTACAGGGAAACAATGTATGTGTGTGTGAAAGCCAATGCGTACGTGGCTGCGTGTGGGTGTGTTTTTTGTCGTTAATCTTAAACTGAGTCATACACTTATAAAAGAGGACAGGTTGTGTAAGTCTCAGTCTTTCCATTCTTGCACTTTCTGACTTATCTTTCACTTACCTGCATTTCTATACTGCCTCATTTCATATTGAAAATGTTATGTTACCTCACATATAGTACACAGTTTACATAATGTTCATGTTTTGTATGTAATGTTCACCATGTAGTTCTGATTGTATGTATATATGTGTAGTGGCTCTTCCAGCACTCGGTGCTCAGTACCCTGCTGTGTTTTCTGCTGCCCCTGCAACTAAGTTAATGGACGAAGGGAAGATGCACCCAGTGGAGCACCTGATAAACCCTATGGCCCTCCAGCATGACCCCACAGCTGCCTCGGCCACTGCGGCGGTCATACCTGCAGTCTCCACACCACCACCTTACCAGGTACTCACCTACACCTGAGCAGATGGGACAATTTACAATTATTATAACACTCAGATAATTCTAACACCATGAGCTTATTTGCGTATTCACACTGAAAGCGAAAATTCTTACACTTCAAAATCCATCTAATACTGCTATCACGAGATCTGAATTTAAGTTGAATTGCTTTAGCAAATATTTGAATTAAAGGAAGTAGAATTAAAAGAACTGAAATGTTTACAAATTCACGTAACTGCAATAAATGTAACTAGAAAAGGAAGTTTGTCGTCAAGTCAAACTTTGAAAAGCCTTGTCTAAAAGTTCAAATAGTTTTTAATTTTTTAGGTTTTATAGGCCTTACAGAAAGACAAAAATATATCTGTGTGCCATTTCATTTCTTGAATTGTAATTCAGTAAATTCCACGTCCTGTAATTCCAGTTCAAATTCCAATTAAACTTTCTGTTCAGTTAAAATTCCAACTCATGATTTGAAAGGTGGCCAATTCTTAAAATACGAATCCTGACAAGCATAATATGTTACCACAGCCCATAATAAAAGAATTCACCACGTTAAAATATTATTCGAAAAATAATACCAATACTTACCAAAAATACACAACATCTAGTCAAAATCCTATTGTCATATATTGAATATCGCCTTCACAACTGGATGGAAATCTGTATGGATCTTGTGTTCATACAGTCATTATGAGTAAGAAAAAAAAATTACACGACTAGAGAAAACAGAAAAAGGGATATGGTGAATAAAGGAAGGAAAATGTCAACACCCATAATGCACTGGGCTCGATCAGATTATCCATGAGCGTGGATACAAATCTGTACTTTACACAGAAGCCCTGGAGCTATCAAAAGTCTACGTCAAACGCATCATTAGTGAACTTTTGCTGACAAATAATGGCGTTCATTTACTTATTTACTACCGACATTTTCCAACATTACAAATCAGCAAACTTACCCTTTAATATGCTCATTTTGCTATGGGGGGAAATTGGAACAGGTTTTATTTCATCTGTGAACAGGGAATGAAAAACCCTCCATTCACATCTTCTGTTTTGGACCAATGAGATTCACTCTAGACAGCGCTACCCTGAATGACACTGCAGAAATAGAAACAAAGCGACCCACCATCATGGTCATTGTCAAAAACTCTTTATTGCTTGTTGCTTTATCATGTCTAGTTAGAATACGGTGTATCAATCTCTCTCTTTACCTCACAGGGTCGTCCTATAACCCCCGTCTATGCTATGGCTCACAATGTCCAGAGGATCCCGGCTGCAGCTGCCAGTCTGTATGGAGCCGGCTACATGCCTATCGCTACCCACGCCAACACGGCCATGCTGGCAGCGCTGCAGAAGAACGCTGCTATGGCAGCCGCCGCAACCTATGGAGGGTACACTGGGTACATGCCTCAGGCCTTCCCTGCCACTGCCACCTTCCAGATGCCCATTCATGATGTATACCAGACCTACTGAGATACCTGCAGCATCGATCACAATGACTTACAATTACACACACCACATCACCACAGGCCATCAGACATTTACACCACATCTATGAGGTCTGCTGGTTAATTGAACCACGGAGAGTGAAACTGACATGCAACAACTCTTAACACCTTCTGACTCATGTGAAGCTCCCTGGAAGCCTTTAGATTAGACGCTGGCAGCAAGGATGTAGATTTCGGCTAAATTATCTCACATCTTCATCAGCCCCTCTGGCCCACATTTATTAATCCAGACGTATGACCTAGACCAAAACCACTTTTGTATGCTACTGATTAGCTTATCAAGACAGGTAGACTTTTGTGTTATATGATATGGACTCAAACCCTGCAATGTGACCAGAACCTCGCCTATTTTCCCTTTAGATCCATAGGAAACAGTCCGTCAGTTCGAATTCCTAAAGGAATTGACAACTCTGGCTGATTTCCAAAGCCATTACACGACTGACTGAATGAATGACAACTCATCACTCATTTGCATATTTGATCATTCTGCAGAGGTTTTGTTTATTAGTTGATCACCAGTACAGCTGTGGACTGATTCCGAGTGATATGTTCATATGAAGTCATTCCAAATAAGACTTGCAGAAGCACACCTACTGACATATCACCGTCTTCCCCACACACTCCAGCTGAGAATCGTGAGCCAGAGCATTCGTGTCGCTGCACACTCCTAATACCACTCCTCTGCATTCACAGGCACAAGAACGTTGTAGTATTTGTGGACTTTAATAAGAACGTATTTAATGGCTCTCTATGCTTTAGTGCATTTACTTTTGTTTTGTGAAGAAAAACAAAATTGACAAAAAACTGTAAAATGAACAAACAACTGCTGAGCAGGAACTTCAACAACCACAGAAGTAGAAGATTTAAAGCGTTTCATGAAAATGCTGTATTTTGAGTTTATAACATATACTTTCAAAATGTGTTGAAGACGTCGGAATCTTCCGTCCACTGGGTTTCCTGCACACGAGTCTATATGCAAATTCCTGCATTCGTTTTTTCCTCCTTACCTGTTTATTTTTATATTTAGATTGTTTTAAGATTCTACTGTTTAGTTGGTTTGAAGATGTTGTTTTTATTGTCTAGAAGATATTTTTCTTCTCTTAACTGGAAGATAGACAAACACTGTTTTCATTCACATTCTCAGAGGCAAAATAAGTGTTCAAGAAAACGGAAACTGGAAAAAGAGATGTTTTTCAGTCAGATATATGATGGATAACATTAGTTCTCTGTTAAAGGTATAGTTCACCCAAAAATGAAATTACATGTCGTTCCAAACCTGTATAACTTACTTTCTTCGGTGGAACATGAGAGAAGGTATTTTGAGTGTATATCTATACAATGGAAGTCAATGGTAACCAAAACTTTTAGGTTACCAACATTCTTCAAAATATCTGCAGAAGAAAGAAAGTCATACAGATTTGGAATGACTTTAGGATGAGTAAAAGATTTTCAGTGATTTTTAGAATGTTCATTTTTGTGTAAACTATCCCTTTAATGTGTTTTAAATGCACAAACCGGACTGACAAAAAAGTAGCTGGGTTGAAGATGCAGCATTATTTATGATGACTTAGTTCTGCTTACTTTTACGGGTTGTGTTAGTTGATGACCAACCCTTATTTTTTTCAGACCACTACTGTGATTCCCAGCATCCAGTCCTGTGAAGTCTTATGTGCCTCATTAGGGGAACACGCTTTTGTGCCATTAATACAAATTACACCTGAAGTACTGTCCCATTTACCATTGAACCAATTATGTTCATGTTGTTTATTAACGGTCTTGACTCGCAGACCTTGAGTTGCAGAATAAAATCAGGTTAATGGCACAATACTCTCAATCCCCCCTCCGAATTCCTCCTATAGATGTGTGTAGAGACAGCAGACAGTTTTTTTGTAGTTCTAACCCTGCATTTTTGTAGATCACACTCCAAGTTGTGCTACTGTAGTATGGTATGTGTTAGCAGTGATGACTGTTCTGAGGTGCACTTAAACATTTTAGGGTGTTAGAAGTTCTTGTGTATGTATATGCTGTGTGAGCAGGCACTTTTGTCTTTTTAGGGGTATTTTGATACTCCTAGAACTGAAATGAACTGGACCAAACTGAAACCAGGGAGCTCAGAGAACCTGTTAATATCCTCATTGTCTTTTCAATGACTGCTGTATGTCATATCAATGTCCTCCTGAAGACTGCTGTATGCCACCACTATGCCTTCTGTAGGACTGTGTATGTCACATGTGCCTTTATTCAGACTGCTGTCTGTAAAGTGACCTCTTAAACACTGTTTGTTATACCACAGTGCCTCTTCTGTCCTAATTTCTTTCAGAAAGTCAATTTTTTTCTTTTTGTGTGTGTTATACTGTTGTTTCTATGGGGCCTCTGAGTGTTAGAGTGCTGCTTTATGTTGTATTATGCTTTCATGTGTTTCATGTTCTAACAGAGTTGATATTTTATTAAGTATAGCCTGCTTTTTTTTGAGTGAAAGTTTGGGGAAAACATCATGATATACCAAAACAAAGAATGACAATCCATGCAAGTCACATCACGTAAGCTAGTGACACATTTTTACACACTGCTGCGATCATCTAGAATATGGCATATCTGTGTTTTTTTGAGAAAAGTGAACCATCCCCAGTAGTTTTTCTCTGTCTGTTATCTAATCTTTTATTATGAGCGAAGCAGTCAGGATATATTTAATATATACAGTACAATGTTTTTGTGTATGAAGTAAGAGGAAATGCTATAATATATTTTAAGAAGATTTTTCCATCTTATTATGTGCTTTAGAGAGTTTAACAACAACAAAAACTTATTTTTTTGCCAAAGTGTTCAACTAATGCGAATGTGTGTATGTGTGGATATATATAAATGCGGCTGTAAGTTGCCAGTGTGGAGTAATACTGGCCCAAATTGATCATGCATTCATTGGCAAAACACGCTTTCTTTTGCAATCATTTCATAAACACTACATGTGTAGCGTTTTTTTTTTCTCTCTCTCTCCTTTTTAGACTTGTTTCTTGTTACTAAAAGACCTCGGCTGAGGACATTTAGATAATGTAGAATGTTATTGCCATAATATCTTTTCCTTTTTTTTTTTTAGATTTGTTTAGAACTGTTTTCTATCTCGCATTGTTTGTTTTAAAACTTTTTTGACATTGTTGTATTTATAGAGGTAGTTTAATAAAGCATTTTCAAAAGGAAAAGTAAGATCTGTGCTTGTCCTTCTTATTCTTCTTTCTCTGTTGCTTTCTTTGCTCACCATTTACACTTTTTTTTTTTTTACTAAAATTATTAGCAATTTTACTAAATAATTTTAAAAAATTATAATTTTGCTACCTTTTTTTTTAATATTTTGAAAATTATTCTTTTAATTTTGTTTTTAGCATTGTCTGTGCTGAAAGTTATCAGATCATGTAATGTTCATTAGTTTAAATTTCACAAGTAATGAGGGTTGAAGATCTCTTTTGGTGATTGACAAAGTGTACCAAATCGTTTTAAGCAGGGGGTGCTCAAACCAGTTCCTACCATCCCGCAAAGTTCAGTTCCAGCTGTTCCAACACACTTTTCTGTGATCTTGAGGAACTTCATTAGCTGGTTCAGGTGTGTTTGATAAGGTTTGGAAGTGAACTTTGTGAGATGGGAGATTTCCTGGAATAAAACTGAGCATCCCTGAACTAAAATGAAAATGTTACATTCAAACATGCAGTTCTTTTTGTATCACTAGGGGGCAGCAGTGCAGAGGGACCAGATGTAGGTTTAAAGTGATGGAATGGGATCTGAACACCTGTGTTACTGTAATATGGCTGAAACTGCCAGGTTTTTCTCAACATGCGCATTAAGTGCAGTGAAGTTCTTCCTTTTATCATTATTATTATTAGTAGTAGTAGTAGTCTCAGGAAACGACTAAGTAGCAGTGGCATGCATGACATGATACAGCTTGCTGATTTGGTCATTATTGCAACACCGTAGTGGTGTAAATATATGCAAGGTCAACTGAGAGGAAATAGAATTGATTTGATGTCTTTTCTTTGTAAATAGGGTGAAGTGGGACGAACATGTTTCATGATTGATTGCCCTTTAAATATCAGCAGAAAATCAAATGTTAATAGTTGCCATAAGGGTAGCTGTCATTCCAAATGTTGTCATCTGCATCATAATCATGCATCACAGTGGATATGATCACATCTAATTCATCTTTGGCAAAGGAAAATGCTCCTCTTAAACATAAGCCTCTAGAATACAAATTAATTACACAAACCTAGTTCTTAATTATTATTTTAATTACTGAATGTTAATTACAGAAAAGCGTACTGTTCCAAAATTGCTAAATTATTTGCCAGGGTCTGTTGTTCCACTTTATTTCACCAAGACACTTTTTACTCTGTTCTGATGGATTTGATTATTAATCATAACACTGTTATGGCATTACACAAACCATGTCATATAAAAGTTTGAGCCTGTGTATGGACACTATCAGGAATGTTATTTTATGGTAACTAGGAGGAGTTTTTTTCCTTGAAATAATAATTTAGTAAAATATATATAAAATGTGCTTAAAATATTTATTTTATAATATTCTTATTTCAATATTCTTGAAATTTGTCTCGATTGCAGTTGCTGCTGAATCGTCTGCACTGTTAAATAAAATTGAGTGTACAGTACACAAAATCAAAATTTGTTAACTTTTTTTTATATCAGAGTAATATAAAATAGGCCACACTGTACAATAACCGTAAGTCATGTGTTCATAGGGCATTCATAAGCAGTGCATAAACTAATTTAAATGTGTTTTAAGTGCGCATATGATTGTATTCTCAGTGTCTCACTGGACATGAAAAATCTGATAATAAATAGTCATAAATTGAGCCCCTTTTACTTTTATAATGCTTTTGAATGCTAGTAACTCATAATTCAAACTCCTCCGGTACAGTGTGGATGCACAGTGCAAAAAAATTTAAAATTTAATGTATTTTTTTTTTTAGTTTCTCAATCACACCACAGACTGAGAAGCATGCCGCTCATCCTCTGTGTAACGCCTGAACTGTTCCCCTAGCAGCGGCTCCAGGCCCTCAGCCGAGCGGTAAGAACGTGCCCGAACAGCACACCCGATGACTCCGCCCACCACAGCCACGACAAGCACCACGGCAACAATCGCTATGGTGATGATCTCTGAAATAGTGTATGCCCGAGCTAAGGAGGGAGAAAGAGAGAGATTTTGTGTTTATATCAAACCACAAATGTATAAAGGTGAATAACATTTTTTAAATGCATAGTAAAATTGCCATTGCGTTCCTGTGTGCACTTCACACTCCAGTCCAGTAGGTGGCAGAAATGGATCCTTGACATTGGTTTGCTAACCGCCTTTAAACCAGTGTCAGGACAAATGGGGTCCTCCCTAAAAATGGGGTCTCTATTAGGACCCCAAGTGATCCCATTGGCTCAATATTAATGTGTAATCTCTTTAGCATGATTTCTACAAAATCCAATCTGATCTCATGAGAAAACATAAATATTTTACAAGGTGGAGATTTAGTATGAATTTACAATGTAATTTGTATGAAAACATGAGATTTTTAGAAAAATTATAAACATGAAGGGCCACCCTGAGTGGGGGAATAAGCAGACTGTAAGAAAATTTACGAATGATAATACAAATTCATGTCTTTAAAGTAATTATGTGTTAAATATCCAGAGATTTCTGTTATAAAAAGAACACTGTAATGAAGAGTGGGCGAACCTGACACCATCAGACAAATTCAAAGGAGGAAATCAATGGCCTCTGCAACAATTTTACTGTTAAAATTGCTTAAACCCGAACAGAACACTTGCATTTTTGGGTTCTTCATTAAGTGTTGAAGTGAATCATAATGTATTGCCATTATACTGAATTCACACAGCTGGATATTAATTAAATGATCTACTTTTATGTTGCACAGAAGAAAAAAGATTCAAGGAAATGATGACAGTCTTAGTTTTTGGATGAACTATTCCTTTAACGTTAAGTTCAGTTATACTAATAAAGTTTTCCAGAAAGGAATATTGGTAACACTTTAGAATAATGTTCTATCATTAACAGATAATTATGCAGGAAGTAATGCAGGACTAATGGGTGAACTACATTAACACTTCAGCTACTACTATTAACTAATATCCAAACAAGCCTAACTAATCAGTAAGTAATAGTGAATTTAGGACTGAGATACTTCCTTAATAAGCAATCAGTAATTACTGAATGAGACTGGCCTCATTATGAAATAGTTATTATTTCGCACCAATTAATTACCAATGAATTACTAATCACTAATTAGGCTACTCTAGTGTTACTTAATCACTTTGCATTAACTAGTAATTATCTGGACCGTTATTTTAAGGTGAAGAACTTTTTTTTTTTTTTTTTAAATAAATGGTTCAGATCACTAGTAGTTCTTGAAGAGTTACTAGGTAACACTAAAGTAATTAGTAATGCATTTTAAGTCGACGTTGAGAATAAAAAAGACAACGACGTTTCTGTTCTTATTTAATAGTAACTGAAGTTTTAATGTAGTACTACTCATTAGTTCTGCATTACTTCCTGCATAGTTTACTTCCTGATTACTCACTTGGCCACTGAACCTCATAGGTGTAGCCCAGGTTGTCTGGGGCAGCGACAAACATTTCAGCATTTCTGACTGGTGGCCAGAAAGGAACCATATTGAACTCTCTGTTGTGTCCAATCGGAGCGTTTTCCTCAGGATAGAACTCTGTTCCTGCTGCGTTAGTTCAAAGATCACTAGTTAGAATGCAACTGAAATGTAAAACTCATTTTGGTTATGTATGTATGTACATTGTGTGTGTGTGTGTGTGTGTGTGTGTGTGTGTGTGTGTGTGTGTGTGTGTGTGTGTGTGTGTGTGTGTGTGTGTGTGTGTGTGTGTGTGTGTGTGTGTGTGTGTGTGTGTGTGTGTGTGTGTGTGTGTGTGTGTGTGTTTACCAGCAGTGTGTCTCTGAAGCCATTCATCAAAGATGGCATCAGTGAACGTGTGAAGCAGGACAAAGATGGGGTCGTTTGGTGACAGGTGAGTCTGTCCACCTGTGCCATTGAGAAACAAATGAGCCAGGTTGTGCAGACTCCTCACTACTGGGTCATAGTTTCCCTGGGGAGCACTGTAACCTAATGACACACAAGAACACGAATTAAAAGTCTCCTCGCTTCTCCGAAATGCTGCAAAGACTTTATGCAGGTGGCTATTTGGTGTGCTAGTTCCTTTGCCTGTGGCTTCAAACATTTTTCAAAAAGTAGTTTTATTTGCAGTTGCGAGTGTATCATACCCTCAACAGTGTTCCTGAAGCTCTGAGAAGAAGTTGAGTAATAAGGTGGTGTGTCAAAAGTGTTCAGCTTGAGACAGTCAATGACGTCCTGTGGTTCTGGTAATCTCTGAACCATGGGTCGAGCCACATTACCGGCAGGGTTTCTTCTGATTGGATTTGTCTCTGTACCTGGATACACACCAGGCAGAGACATTTTGATAACTTTTGATATATTTTGATGAAGATGTTTTTTTGTTTTTTTTGTCAGAATCTATTAATTTGTTTAAA